ACAGGTTATCTGAGGAGCTGCCTCACCCCAATTGGATTGGCCTGCCCCACTTGCTTTGGCAAAAAGAGATACACTCTGCACCCCTTTAGCCAAGGAATTGCAGCTGGCAGGGTCCAGGAGAAGAGGCTTTTCTGTCATGGTTCCCACTCCTTGCAATATGGCCCCATCTCAACCTTCTTGGCCTTACCCAAAAGCCTGAAAACCTGGCTCTGCCAACTGACTTGGCAATGGGGGGGGTGCTTTTTGGAGGTGGCTAGTAGATAAGCAGAAGATTATACCAATTATAACTCTTTCCAATAACTGATCTTTCTATAGATTGTGGGGATAAAAATATGTATGAAAGTTTCACATTGGGAAATATTATAAATGTGCAATTATTCAAAAGAAAATCCCTCTTTCTCAGCAGTACCTACTCTTTCCAGCTATATGCTTGGCGTTCGTTTCAGCCTTGTGACGTGAACGGTTTTCCAAACAACATGGTCTCACATTTCTGAATCAGATTTTATATTCAAAATACTGGCAGGACACCCCTTTTGTGCTGTTCCCATTAAGCCCCTAGTGTGAATTGTTCAGAATGGTGATTTTCTTTTTTCTTTTTTTTTTCTTTTTTGGTAACAGATTCTCACTATTAGAGTTTGCTCTTTCTTTGGCAGTAGCTACACAATTAATGTAGCCACCTTAAAACTGAGTGGGAGAAGAAAAACGCTGAGCCACTGAAAGAGAAAGTATATGACTTATGCTGCCATAATTGCTATCCGCTGGGTAACTGAATACAAGCAAGGTGGGGTTATGGACATGACCTACTTTGATGGGTTTTTTTATAGAACTAGGTGAATGGGATCCATCATAGCATCATTCTGAGCTGGTTTAGAACAGCTTTGTTTAATTCTTAGTTTCTTGCTCAGCCAAATCGTCATAACTGGTTCACTTCTATTCAGCATAAACAATGAATATCATGAAGGTGAGGCGGGGCTTATGTAAAAGGGCCTTAGTGCTTTTTTTAAAAAAAGCCTTTATTTTAAGTATATGGTTGGTTTCAGATTTAGCCCCACTGAAAACTGTTACTTATGATTCATATAAGTGCAAAGTGTTCTTCAACACTTCAAGAAACCTGAACAAAATGTGGAGTAAAAATAAGACAGAATAAGAGAAGAGATCATTACTGCTTTCTGATTCTCCTAACCCTTGCAAGTCAACTATTCAAACTATATGGGCCATATTTTGCCGCCATTCCTACTGCAGAGGCTTCATCTTGAGGCTTTAAGCGTCACCATTGATTCAGAACAATTTGGAGTAGAGTAGAGTAGAGTAGAGTAGAGTAGAATAGAATAGAATAGAATAGAATAGACCTGGAAGGGACCTTGGAGGTCTTCTAGTCCAGCCCCCTGCTCGAGCAGGAGAACTGTCGTATATCATTTCAGACAAGTGACTGACTAGTCTCTTCTTAAAAACCTTCAGTGATGGAGCACCCACGATTTCTGGGGGTAACCTGTTTCACTGGTTAATTATCCTCACTGTTAGGAAGTTTCTCCTTAATTCCAGGTTGCTTCTCTCTTTGGTCAGTTTCCAACCATTGTTTCCTGTCTTGTCCTCTGGTGCTTTGGAGAATAGTTTGACCCCCTCTTCTTTGTAGCAGCCCCTCAAATACTGGAATACTTCTATCATGTCACCCCTATTTCTTCTTTTCTTTCAAGTAGCCAAACCCAAGTCCTGCAGCCTTTCTTCATATGTTTTAGTCTCCAGGCCTTTGATCATTTTAGGTTGTTGTACTCTGAATTTGGAAGAGAAAGAAGTGGATGCAGAAGAAAAAAAATGTCAGATTCACATAGGTTGTGAATGTACTTAGCTATGATTTATGGAATAGAACATGGTTGGTTGCAACTATCTAGTTTGCTAAACCATAATGTATGCTTTGCAAAATAGGTAGTTCTTGACCTACAACCATCTGTCATAAATATGAACCAGTTGGCAAGCATCTGAATTTTGATCATGTGATCATGGAAATGTTACAATGGTCGTAAGTGTGAAAAATGGCCATAAGTCACTTTTTAGTGCCCTTGTAAATTTCAAATGGTCACTAAATGAAAGTTGTAAGTTGAGGACCAATTATTGCATGTTGTATTGAACCAAAACAATAGGACAAGTCTATATCATATATGGAGGTGTTCTCTCCGTCATTTTCTATTTCTTGCCTAAAGAAGTGGACAATCAATCCTTTTTAAACATTCTCTGGAGTGTCCAATACACATGGAAAAATATTGCTGAATTAGCTCTATCTTAAATATCCTAAAGATATGTTTAGTATGAAGAAGCATTTTAAATGTCATCAGATTGTAGGAGTTGACCAGCTGAGCCCGAGGGAGGGGTCAAACTCATCATAAGTCACAAGTCCCTGCGCGCCCACAAGAGATCTAAGTCTAGCCCATCTTGAATGCCTTTCTTATCTCCTGTTCATTTCCCTTGACTATTAGTTGGCCAGATTCTTATAGAGAGCATCAGTTTGCAATAAATCTTTATACTCATTTAAACTGTCTGAATCTCCTGATTTTCCCAGCGCTTGACACAAATAATCTTAATACCGGTTTGTCGACATAGGATATATTAACTCTGCATTCCAAAATTCTTGCAAATAACTGATTTCTATCTTTAAAATATTCTAGTCTATAGAAAAACTGGTGTAGTATCATCCAAAATGTTTTTCACTATTGGTAATATTTCAAGAGCTTGAGACATTTGGACCAAATTTTGAAATCATAAAGTATTCTAACTGAATTTTGAGAATTAATTCTCCAATAGCCAGTGGGAAACAACATGGGGGCACATTTGATCACTGCAAAAAACAAGGAACAGCTGAAAACTTCCCTCTAGTTTCTGCGGAAAAGAGGCCCAGGCAGAAAAGAGAAAAAAGGCACAAATCACTTTGAATATTGCTTCTATAGATGCGGCTTTTTCTTAGAATACAGCAGTTGTGATTATTGATTATTTGTGACTTTCTAACTTATAATAAAAACTATTCTCTTCAGACATTATTAGATTCTTATAAGGTTGTCTAATTGCTGCTGCTCTTGCTGCTAATAGTTGGGGAAAACCTGGCATATATAAATTGATACTTGACAAAGATCATGCTTACTTTTGATTTAAAATATTGATACCTTCATTCGCTCAGGAGTGGCCTTCAAAATACTTTACCTGTGATTTTCAGACTAGAGTTATCCCAAAGTGTAAGCTTATGAAATAAGGATCAACATGTTTCTCAATATTTTCCAACCTGCCTTTTGTGTTGTAAATACAGTTGAGCATTCACTAAAAAAGGCATGGAAACCCCTGCCATATCAGAGGAGTCAAATAAAAACAAAAGTGAATTTTCAACTTGATTTTCTAAATTTCATAAAAAAGTAGAAGTTAAATATACAATAACCCCCCCCCCAAATGAAGCTGCAAATGAATGAAATTAAAACCATTTTCTTTGTAGGGGGCTGATCTTCCCATAGAAACCTCGTAAATTATTTATCGGTCTGCTTAAAACACCTGAAAGATATTGACATGGGAATCCCTTGAAGGGCACAATGTCTATCTTGAAGAAAATTCATTTCTACAATTATTTATCTTTCCCCATGCACTCCTGAGGAGTTTTAGCCATCTGTTTACATCGGTGCCAATCTGAGACAGGCAATTTGGTGTCAATGCTAGCACTTTTGAATTCCTTTTACACATTTCTTCAGTTGCCCTAGTCTGTGTTATGTTTTAAGAAAAATCCCCCAATTTATTTTTCTTTAGCTTATTTAGCTTTCTGGCACAATAGCTTATTTGCTGTCTGTTTTTATTGCTGCCATGTATTTTTCTGTATTTTGTTTTATGTATTTTAATTGCATATTTCATTGACTTTCTATTTACTGTTCTCGTGTAATAATTTGTGTTAATGATTTTGATAATATCATGATAGTTGCAGATTATTCTGTTTGACTTTTATTTGGTTTTCATCATTAATATTTTACTATCATTTCTAATTTTAATTACTGGGGTTTGTCAGTAATTGATACTGAGTATTCGTGATTTACATGTTACATAAATGAATGTTCTCCTCTACAAATACAGCAGTATTTTCTTTGAGTATTTATTGCAAGATATTTATTCAAACATCAAGTAACTTACCTTTTTTTTTTTCAAATAACCACAGACTATTTTAAAATCATTGAAGGAATATATTCTAGTTGATTTGAATGACAGTAAATCTTGCTAAAAAGATTCATAATGGTGAAACAAACTTAACTTCAGCCTCTATATCCATAATGTGCTTTGATTGCCTCATATTTTTGAATAAAAATAGAAATATCAACCAATCATATTCAAGACTTGTCAAATTTTTAGGGAAGGCAGATTGCCCAGGATGATGGATTAAAGGAGGTATAGTCTATATGTATGTACCAAAGTCACTGTCAAATATTGAGCATTTTTGACATTTAATTAAGAATTTGAGCAATAACATGCAGAAGCTGTAGAATCTTTACAGTCTTCAAAATCCTTAAATGAAATGGAGGAAGGGGAATGTCATTTATAGGGCCATACAAACTGCATCTTCAACACTTCCTTAAAGAAGCTGGATTCCAAAACTCACGCAGTATCAGCATAATCTTTGGACAATGCATGTTATAGGAGTGGCAGGCAATTTCTTGAGTTCTAGTTCAGCTCTAGGTTGTGTCATCCAGTACTACTGATCTCTTTTAATCCTCCCATGTATTTTGAAAGATAAATAGGAAACAAACTGCTACCAAATCTTCTTAAACGTCCTTTCATAATCCAGAAGGGAAAGTTCTCTTTGACGTCTCTGGGATCCTCTTCCCGAATTATTGGTGACCATTTGTTGCAAAGTGCTACAAATTAATTTGTACTTTGGTAGCACTTTCCAAAAGTGGCTTCAACATGGATAAATATTGCCCATCTGTTTTACTAAGCTGCCCTTTCTCTCTTTTCTTTTTTTCTTTTCTTTTTTGAAAACCCAGCTGAGGAAGTGGAGAGACTGGCTGCAATGCGTTCGGACTCATTGGTTCCAGGGACACACACCCCTCCCATAAGGAGGAGAAGTAAGTTTGCCAATCTAGGAAGACTTTTCAAGCCATGGAAATGGAGGAAGAAGAAGAGTGAAAAGTTCAAGCACACATCAGCAGGTAAGTTGCAAACCTCTTTTCAGCACTGAATTGGATTAATATTTGTTTTGATCAATATTTGTTTCCCCTCACCCCCAAAGTAAAATAGAATTGCTATGCTACAATTATCTCAATGTTTGGATGATTGGTAGCTCTATAGCAGTAGTTCTCAACCTGTGGGTCGGGACCCCATTTGGGGTTGAATGACCATTTCACGGGGGTCGCCAAACAACACAGTCCGCCATTTTTTCCCCTTTTCCTTAGCTGTGCTACTCCCTTTTATTCTCTTGGCTTTTGAAAGCCAATAGAATAGACTCTCTTGAATAGAGTCTAATTCTATTGGCTTTCAAAAGCCAATAGGAATTGTCCAGGCTGTCTCTGCCCTGCTGAGCCCGCCAAAAGTCCCATTCTGCAAACAGTGCTGCACCAGTTGAGTAGTCCTCGACTTACAACCAGTTGGGGGTCGCAGCATTAAAAAGGTTGAGAACTACTGCTCTATAGTAATCTATAGAGTAGCAGTAGAAGTGCTTAGGTGGAAACAGAAAAAAAAACAAAACAAAACCAGATGTCCCTTAACCTTTTTCCCTCTATTGCTTTGCCTGCAGGTTAAATGCCTTGTTAGTCTATGATGTGGGTGGGCAACTATGGCAATTTTACAACATGTGGACTTCAACTCCCAGAATTCGATGCTGGCTCAAGAATTCTTAGAACTGAAGCCCACAACCAGTGATGGGATTTAAGTATATGAACAACCGGTTCTCTGTGTGGATGCCACTTCCGGAAGTCTATTCTGGGCCTGGAAAACAAAAAATTAGCTACTGGTTCTGCCGAAGTGGTGCGAACCAGCTGAATCCCACCACTGTCCACAAGTCATAAGTTGCTATAATTGCCTCACCCTGGTCTATGGCCTGAACAGGCACATTTCTTTTATGGAGTGGAAATGCATCACAATATATTCCACTTTTTACACAGAAAGAGGTGAACACACTGTGGTATTAGAATCCATCTTTCTCCATGACATGTCTTTACTCACCGACAAGTCTCAATCTGTATAGTTGCTTTGTTGGCATACATTTTCTCAATTTTCCTTCTTTATTGTTGCTTCCTGTAATCTATAAGATTTATCTTGACCAGATTTTCAAAACATCCAATATGTCTCTTAGTATTTGCTTTTAAGGAGCCAGATACCATTCTTTGCTTCCAGAAATCAACACTTTTTTAGTTTTCTCTTTAAATTGCTCAACATATTGTGCTAAAAGCGTTTTTCTATAGACTAGCCAAGGTGGTGGGTGTTAATTCCCAATGTTCATTTGCATGAGAGATAGGAAACTCATTCAGGAAGCTAAAGAGAATATCGAGGTAATTAATTTATGAGTTCCAATTAAAATGTCTTAAATGTAGAGTAAGAGCCTTCCTGGATCTGACAAAATGTTTATTCAAACATCCTATTTCCCTTAGTGACCAAAGAGAAGGCTTTGAGGAAATTTTCTTGCTCTTATTGTCCCAACAACTAGTCTTCACCATTCTGTTGCCTAAAAATAGGGTGCAAGCTTTCAAGTATAGCAGAATTTTTGGGCCGGATGAAGAGGCAGGGGAAAAAGGAAAGAGTGGTAGGAAATGTGGCTTTGAAGATTTTGTACCAGTTTATAACTGGAACAGTTCTATCGGGGTAATTAGATAAATGTAATGACCCAAGGCCAAAGTTAGGGAGCAGCTGAATGTGAATGGTGATGAGCTTGTATAGGAAAACCAAGTGGCACAGTGGTTAGAATGCAAAATTGCAGGCAAACTCTGCCCATAGCCTGGAGTTTGATCCTAACAAGGCTCAAGGTTGACTCAGTCTTGCATCCTTCTGAGGTACGTAAAATGAGCAATCAGATTGTTGGGGGCAATGCGCTGACATTATAAATTGTCCAGAGAGTGCTATAAAGCACTATCGAGCCGTATATAAGTCTAAGTGCTATTGCTATTGTTATAAGTGGCTATCGAAAAAAAGCGAGACTACAGGTAGTCCATGATTTACAATAGTGCATTTAGTGACCATTCAAAGTTACAACGGCACTGAAAAAAGGGACTTATGACCGTTTTTCACACTCATGACTGTTGCAGCATTCCCATGCTAACGGGATCAAAATTGAGATGATTGGCAAGTGACTCATATTTATGAAGGTTGCAGTGTCCTGGGGTCATGTGATCCACCTTTTGCAAACTTCTGATAAGTAAAGTCAATGGGGAAGCCAGATTCACTTATCAACTGTGTTACTAACAACTGTGGCAAGAAAAGTCGTAAAGCAGGCAAAATTCACTTAACAACCATCTCACTTAACAACAGAAATTTTGGTTATAACTGAAAAACTGTCCCTTTTTTCAGCGTCCTTGTAACTTTGAATGGTCACTAAATGAACCATTGTAAGTCGAGGACTTGGAGCAAAGTAGTCATGTATATGTAATCGTATTCTAGTGGCTGCTAAAAATCTTTTTTTGAACAAGCCTCCTTATTTTTTTTCAAGTTTTTGCTAACAACAAAGCAATACTGTACCCTTAAATCAATTAGAGAGAGAGAGAGAGAGAGAGAGAGAGAGAGAGAGAGAGAGAGCAATCTAGAGCTTATTCAGACACTTAATCACTTCAAGCACAGTATTTGAACAGTCAAAACCCTCAAGGGGGAGATTTCTTTTTTTCAGATCCTTTAATTATGTAAGCACCCCAATTCTACTTATGTATTGAACTTTCTGCTATCGTACTCAGGGCAACAAAGCCTGCGTCCTTTGGGAATGAAGACAAGAGAGCAGGTGGTATAGACAGTTTTGTAGAACACTGAAAACACTTTGCCGGGTTCTCGTCTGGTGAAAATATATCCGTAGTATTATTTCCTGCAACACATCCTAGGATTTGATGGGTTGCTTTTTAATTATGAAGGTAGCACCATAATTTCTCCCCAGGGTCATTGAGAATATTGTTAACCTGATGATCAACGGAAGAGGGAAACATCGCCAGTGGCTTTTCTCTGTAAAATAGGGGTCTTAGGGATTGTCCAGTACCTTTTACTTCTTCATTCATATTCTCAATGGGATTTTCCCCCACCCTTTGGAGGAGGTGTATGAAATAATAATTAGTGGGAGGCACTTGCCTAATCAAGTCTGACACCTCAAGTTCTTACTACTCATAGTACTTAAATTCAACAGAGAATTCCAAAGTATGTCTAGCAGTTATAGGTAGTTCTCAACTTACAGCCACAGTTTCTGTAGCTAAGGAAGACAGTTGTTAAGGGAGTCACGTCCAATTTCATGGTTTTTTTTGCCACAGTCAAGTCGATCCCTGCACTGGTGAATCATATGGCCTATAAGCAAATGTAGCTTTCCCCGTTGGTTTTCCTTGTTGGAAGCAGGCTGGGGAGATCGCAAGTGGTGGTCACATGACCTCAGGACACCGCAGCTATCGTAGATACATGCCAGTTGCCATGTGCCTGAATTTTGATCACATAACACAGTGATAGTTGTAGGTACACGCACCATTCGTAAGTCACTTTTTTCAATGCTGTTGTAACTTTGAATGGTCACTAAACAAATGTTTGTAAGTTGAAGACCTGCTGTGATATTTTATCCTTGTATTACAGATTCAAAGCTAAGGTTTGCATAGAATGTGATCTAATGAGCTAAATGAGTTGAAGAACCACTGTGGTTGGGTTGATGCCTAATGTTAAACATAAACCATAGCTTAAAATCCCATTCTCTGGGTTCACACTAATTAACATAATATGTGTACACTACTCAGCACTACAGTGTTGGGATTCCTGACCTGGGACAGGAATATTGTCAGAACGTTAAAATAGAAAAAAGCAGATCCTAACTCCACTTTCTGAATACAAAGGCTGACTGGTGTTGATGAACATATTTTTCCAATGCACAAATATAAACCTTCTGACCAAAAGAAATAATATGTAAATATTATTTGGTGGATTTCTACTATGATAAAAGTAGTTCTCACCTAATCCTAAATTGGCATTAGTTGTTGCAATTGTCTATTTTTTTATGAGACTTTGATAATATGGGCATCCAATGAAAGGAGATGTTTACTAAGCTTCTCTACAGCTGAATCTTTTTCAACCTCTTAAAAACTTGCTTAACTGCAAATTTATAACCATTAAGAAGCAAACTTTGACTTACTGGATTTGAAAAGGCTTTTTAAGAATGTACTCACGCTCCTGTTTTTGCTTTAATGACACATTTGTGGGGAAAAAAATCCTTCTATGTATCCAGACTTACAGGAAAGAAATGTTTAATGAGGCCATTTGGATTTTATGCTAATTACACTTCCAGCTGCTATAAAGATTATCTACAATGGCTTCAAACTGCAATTTCGTAGTGCCATTCTAAAATGGTATTTTCTTTTACCAAAGAAGCAAAAAAACAGTGTGAAGTTCATCTGGAAGGAGGGACTTTATATAAACAGGATATAAAGCTGTAATAGGAGAAATAAAAGTGATTCTCTCTGTTTTCTCTATCATAATTGGTGGAATGCGTCACATTTCAAAGGATCTGTCATCAAAAGTAGCAATAATGGTGTTCCTGGAACTGCAGATGCAATTTAAAAAAAAATGTTTCTCCTTTATAAGATAAATGTGTGTCAGTTGCAGCTGTCACACTGAAAATATTTGTAGCCATCTAAACAAACTCAATGCCAGATATCTACTAATGCAATCAGCCACATAATAAAGTGACTGAGACTTATTTTTTTTTTTTCAGAATTTGGAACTGAAATTTGAAATCCTTGTCTAACACTCTTGTGGAAAATGAAAGGACTCTTACGAATTCCAGAGGGTTTTTAGCAGAGAAATGTATTGCACAGGTTCAGAAGCTATAGCAACAAGCAATTCTGAACCCGAGGGCAGGTTCAGACTTCAGTTTTATACTTTCTTTTCCTCAGGAACAAAGGAATACACATTGTAATACACATTGTAATACATTACGTTAGTTTCTCACGGGTATAACATTGTATCCAACTACAATGCACATTAGGTT